AAAGTATAACCAGAGATTAAAGGGGCCAATATAATTTTTAAGAGTCCATATACATAGCTAAAGGCTAAATAACAAGCACCAATGCCAGATAGGAGATGCCTTCTCTTGAGTTGTTGGCCAGGGTGGCCAAAGGGACTCCCAGACAGTAACCCAGCATAGAATTTGGAAAATGAACAGCAGACCCCAATCTTATCTAAAGGAATATTGACAACTGATTGCTGCTAGATGAGGAACAGCTGATCTTCTTAAAACAAGGAACTCTAGATAGGCTGACTAGATTCACTGGATGGACAAATACTGGGGAAAGTCTGGGGGTGCTGACAACACAGAGGACAGTAGCAGGGATAACAGAGTATAAGGGCTCTAGTTGGGGGGAGGGAGGCTATGGGAGGGTGCCATCTGGAAAGTGGGTGTATAGTTGAATAAGATGGTTTTGGATGTTCTGTGTGATATACACACACAGAAAAAAATCAACAAATTAAAAAAATGTATTATATTTGAGGAGGAAGTTTATGTCATGTTAATTAGTAAAGGTGATGAACATTACCATTGAAATCTACGTGATGACTTTACAGACATACACAGGCACCAAGGATCTGAGTTCAAACAATTATGACTAGTAATAATTAAATATGTATTTTTTTTTTGTCTTTTTGAGACAGGGTCTCCCTGTAGCCCCATCTGTCCTGAACTCACGATATAGACCAGGCTGGCCTTGAACTCACAAAGATCTGCCTGCCTCTGCCTCCCAAGTGCTAGGATTAAAGGTGTGTGCCACCACACCTGGCAAATATGAATTTTTGAAAGTATAAAAATAACACTATTGTTTTTGTTTAGTCACAGCATACTTAATACATGCTTTATTTTTGTAGTGCTAGGGATTGAACAGAGGGTCTTGTCCATGCTAGGTCAGTACTCCACAACCAGGCTACAATTCCCAGCTCACTATTCACATTTATATGCCTAATACTCCATGAATGCAGGCAGTATAGAATTATTACCAATAGAGAATTCTGAGACAGAAAGAAATAATACTGAATGTGGGTATCACCACTCATTACCCCCCTGCTCTGTGTGTGTGTGTGTGTGTGTGTGTGTGTGTGTGTGTGTGTGTATGTGTATTTAGTTAAGAGGGCAGCCAAAGTTGGGACTAGTATAATCAATATAATGATTCAAAAATGAACAAAACCAAAAATTGTAATATACGCAGAGCAGGTGATACTTTCCTTAGCCTCCAACTGTCACATGAAGGTACTGACTTTGCTGATTTTAAGGAATTACCCAAGGGAACAGTAGGATGAACTCAGTCCCAGAACAGAAATTTTTTTCATTCCTTCATTAGACTCTTTTGTCTATAACATAAAACAATAAAAAAGAAACACACCAAAACCTTTTTAAGTAGAAAAGCAGAAAGAGAGACAGATCTGATACATTATTCCTGGTTCTATCACTTGATAAAGCCTCAGGTAAATCTATTTCAGCATCTTCTGGAAAAACGGGAATCTTTACTTTTAAAAGGCTGACACAAGGATTGCATGAGGTAATAAATGCAGAATGTGTGGTTGTGGGCCTGACTCACAGCAGCCAGCCAGTAATGGAGCTACCACTTCTGAACTAGTACCCAAGGAATGGTTCTTATCTAGTCTCTAGCCTTATACCAAGGAACCCCATAACAAAGTGAAAAAAATTGTTAAAGATTTAAGTTAAATAGTGTTCACTAAGTTCTTGGTATTATTTCTAGAAAAGAGGTTGTAGATATTTAAGTTATTTAATTTCTCAACTTCATGTCTAATAAATTTCTACTTAATAACTCATTTCACTTTAAAATGATTGGATAGTGCTGAAGAAAATACAGGCTACAATCTAGTCAGTGGCTTACTGCAGTGAGAATTGAAATTAAGTATTTTTAACATTTTATGAATTATTTAGTATCAAGTTTGGTCACTTTCAGAGTTCCCTTTAATAAATTATTAACATTATAAACAATTTGGGCTGTTTTAATATTTAAAACTCTTCACTGTAAAAATTCTAACTCCAAATTCTGTTATCACCTAAAGTTATACAAACTGTTTTATTTATAACAAAGTCTTAAAATAAATGAAATATTAAAAAACATATATTTGGGAGAATGCAGAGTGTTTACCCAATACGCACAAGGTCCTAGGTTCAACGGGCAACACATAGAATTCAGGCATGGTGGTGCAAACACTTAAAATCTCAGCACTCTGCAGGTAGAGGCAGAAGGATCAGCAATTTCAAGATCATCACTGGGTATACAGTGAGTTTGAGGTCAGCTTGTACTATGTGAGACTCAATGTTTAAAAAAAAAAAGTAGAAACATTCTTATTTACTCATTACAGGAGTACTTGCTAAAAAATATCACCATGCAGCATTATAATATACATTATCCTAGAATTATTATGACTAAGAATTTATTAGAGATTTGTTTATATTTTTGGATTTGGAAGGTTCTAATTTAGAAATGGTGAATGTTTTTTTGAAAACAAAGTCAGTAGGAATTGTAACAAGTCTGGTATCCAGACCTACCAAGTTGTAATTACAGCAATAGATGGTCTAATAGTTACAGAAAGAGAAAAAAAAAAAGGTATATAGTTAATTGCACACTTTAAAGAAAAGTGACATTATTATACATCTTTCATATGCCTTCTTTTAAAAATTAGGCAAAATGAAATCTAATAATATTTGAAACCAGAATTTGTTATTACATATGCCATTAACTTACCAGGATTCTACTGCAAGAGTTGAAGATACTTTTTCTGGAAGAAAGAATTCATGACACTTTGAAATGTCAAGTAGTTTTTGAGGTATCTTTTTGGATGTATCATAATAGTGACCAAATCTTGACGATGACACTGGTCCAACCTGCTGAAAAGTTGTATTGGTTATTAAAAAACATTATTTTAAATTATAATTACCTTGTGCTACATCCAGCAAAGTAATGCTGTATTTATATGTCAATGTTGATTTTAAAAGGCTGACAGAAATATACTTACTAAATTTCAAAGACTCATACAATAGTGTATATTAGCCAAACAATGTATAGTTAGGAATTAAACTTTTTATTATTATGTTTCTTCATTGTTAGTAATTCCTAAGTTTATAATAACTTCAGCACTCATTTTTAAATTGTACTGTATACCTCTCTAAATTAAAATTTTAATATGCAAAATTCTTAATTAATGGTTAACATCCCAAGTTTTAAGGACAAATCAAATAAGCAGTGGCTAAGAACTACATGAAAAGTTAAGCCAAATTAAGTCACTGGTTAGAAGCCCCCAAAGAAACCAGGTATTTAAATACATTTAACTGAGCATCATATTAAAATTACATGTTTACAAAATAATATATACATATGTTCAATTTTTCTTACAAATTTAAACTAATGCTGATAGTAATTTAGTACTACATTACTTGAGACTGAGACAAGGCATATGCCACAGTGGGAGAATGTATGGAAACTCTATTAGCTCAACAAGAACATGGCACAGATATTAGTCCACAGGTAAGTCCTGATTTGTAGTCTCTATTAGCAACTTTTCTAAGACACTATCTTTTGCTTAGAAAACTAGTAATTATTGACACTGAATTTATTTACATATGTTAGTAAAAGTCTATTAATTACTGCTTTGAATGGAATCTAGGCCTATTTCATTTAACACACCCACCCTGCACACTCCCTCAATCTGGTTTAACTATTAATAAATTTCACCTGGCAACAGCTTCCAGTAAGAGCTTTGATCTAAACATATTATCACTATTGTCCTGAATGCTAGGAAATTGACAAATCTGAGAACTTCGACACATCCAGAAAATCTCTACAGAAACATGAGAATTCAGTAGATTCTTATCTTACAAAGTGACAATTTCTTAATTTAGTTAAGACACATACATTTGTCTGACACTAGATATTTGCATTTAAGATTTCAACAACTCATCTTCCTAAATTAAATGCCAGCAAACATCAAATTATACAGTAACATGAGTTAAAACACTCTGAAATCTAATAGAAGCATTTTCCCTAGATTGAGTCTGTGGGTGTGACATTTATTTTCTAAATAAAATGAATGTTCATCCCTCCATAAGATACTATTTTTTTCATTAATAAAAGACATCTATTAGTCGGCTTCAATCTAATCTTTTCAATGCAATAAGAATATGTACAGAATTATGGTTCTCAAGACATGATTTCTCCATTTATTATGAAAAGTATTGACAAATAAATTATATGACATTAAGATTCTAAAAGATAGAGTGTAAAGTTTTTAAAATGTAAAGTTATTAGTCTAAAGCAATTTAAACAAGGTCTGTTTTTTGGCCTATAATTGATTCTTTATCCGGATTATAGCTCAGAATGTTTTTACTGCAATCTCTGTGAGAGCTCATCTTTTTATTGTGTAAGTCCAAGCCCCCTTAATGTTTTAGAAAGGCCCTGACTAACTGAACTTTGATCTGATGTCTTCATTGAGAAAAACACCAGGTTGCCCATTTCAGATGCAAATCCCTCTAAGGCCCAATAGAATTTAGTAAAGACAGTAAAAAAGAAGAAACCAGAAGTTTCCAGGATCCTCTTTGAGAATCCTGGGGCACACTGGTGTCCTTAATCCATGCAGCATGGATTAAGGTAGGTGATAACCTTTCCTGATTCAAAAGAATAAGCAGAGTGCCTACAAACTGGGTGGAGACTAGGATTTGGCTATAATAAAACGCTGTGCAATAGAAGCTTGGTCTATGTCAGAAGCCCCTGAAAAGGCCTCAATGTACCACATTCCCAGGCCTGGTAGGGAAGCTTGCAAAAGCCTACCTGAATCAAATAAGCATGAATAATCTATTTTAGCAGACTGGCCATGGGGAGAGAGAAAGAAAGAGAGACTTTCCACTTCTTTTAAGTTTGAGTTAATAAATTTATTAGTTGAACTGAAGGTTCTTGAAGCCCTATGCACTCAGAGAAATATACTAAATTGCCAAAAAGCAAGGTATGCTTTTTAAGTTGCCGTCACTATTAATGTTTTTAATTACAAATTATTAATGTGATAGAAATCTCAGATTTGGGATGAATCAAGGCAGAAAATTGATTTTATGCTTTGACAGTTTACATGAAGAACACAAATAATTCATTAAAGTTTAAAAATAATTTAATTGGAAGCTTTTCTTACTATAACTGTCATGAACTTATTTAGATACTAACACAAGATAAGGTAAACAACAAAAATTTTATTGCTGATTGAAGATATCAATCTTTCAATAAAAGGAAATAGAACAAATATATTCTTATAGGATAAAAACAGTTTTGCAAATTTTTCTACTCAAGACACACAGCATTAATATGGGTTGAATTTCTGAAATACTGAATCTTTTGAGACTGAGGACTATAAAACAAAGAGAAACATTGCCTCTAAAAATGACAGCTAGCTGCTGTTAGCATAATAATGGTTACCCATAAATAATCTATCATTAGCTTCATAAAAAGCAGACTGCATTTTTATATAAAACTATCACGCATAACCAGTCCATATACTTGATGTGCTACAAAGAACATGCCGCTTTAGTTTTATGTATGACAACTTCTATTGCACCTTCATAATCTATCTTTAACTCTCATCTGTGAAAGAGAGTAAGATAGAACTAAATTTTACTGTAGAAAAGAAAAGGAACTCAGATGGGGCAGAGAAGGAAAGCAGAGCAATGAAACACCACACCACACCTCCTGCATGCCAGCAAGAAACAGAGTGTTCAGGGGACAGCTGCATCACAAACAGTCCATCAAGACACGTCCTCACCACTTACCAATTCTCATTTCTCAGTATGGCATCACAGAACAAGAATCCAATCCCTCATTAAACCAGGCTGAGCCTCAGTTCAATCACCAGCAATGGGGCTAATAACTATTTCAATCTCTCAAGAGAATCTATGCCATACTGGCAATTAATGTCTTATAAATATGAATACAATATATAAATGTTATTATCACTGTAGCATTTATTAGAGAACTGTAAAATTCATCATTGTCCTTTGTAATAACATTGCCTTCCAGGAAAAAAAATTGTTGGTCATTGACATGTTCACATATCTATCAGGACTATTATGGCTAAATCATCAAGCTATAAAAAAGACTCTAATACATTGTCACCAATGGATAGGACCATTGCAGTAGAGTGCTAAAATTCTGATGAAGTAGGATATGCTGAAGGCTAGCAATCTGTAGGTTGAGGTGAAATGTGTATCTGAAATTTGATAGAGAGGAAGGCATGTCTACCTTCTAGGGAAAAATCTAAAAATCTAAATCACTAGTGAGGGAGGAAAGGTTTTTAAGATTATATATTCTCTGAACCTAGTGAAGCACTCACTTTTGCACTACGGAGCCACTGACAGCAGTAAGCACATCCTCATCATTTTTCACATTCCCTGAGTGGACTAGGACTACACTTTTAAGGCCTGGTAATAATTACTTTAAAAGGCATCTCTGTTAATCAATATATCTAGTTTTGGAATGCATTTGCTTCTAAACCATAAGAGCAACATGTATTTTGTTCAAGGAAATATGGAAAAACCAACATTTTGTTTTGTTTTCAAAGTAATTACTGATATCTGTGAAAAGATGATGAGAGAGCTGAACAAAGCTCACCGGCACAGGAAAAACACTGAACGTAAAACTGCACTGATGGCCAGAAGAAAAACAAAGGAACCACAACAAGATTCTCAGTTTCAAAACTGGCAGCATTTACTTAATAGAAGCAAACTGAAGTTTGACTTCTGATGATAAAGTCAAAATAAAGTAGTCTTTATTGTAATACTAATAAGTGCAATTTAACTCAGCAATGAATTCACTTTGGGAAATACTAAAGGCCACTAAAGCAAAACTGTCTCTTTATCTGCCTGAGTTTACATTCTAGTATAGATAAAAGATTAAACTTTTTAATGATGTCAAGTGCTATGAAGAAAAATAAAGCAGTGAAGGAGAAAGTTATATTTTATTTGGAGTGAAAAAGAAACTTACCCTTCATAACATAATATTTTATTAAATGCATAGAGAAAATTGGGAGACTAAGTAAAATATTCAAAATTTTAACTTACAAAGGAAAAATGGAAGTCCCAGGTAAGATGGTGGTTTAGGAGTCGCCTCTGTAACCCCATGAAGTAAAAAAGTCAGGGTAAGGGGATCAGCATAAGAAGATGGCTCAGTCAGTAAAGTGCTTACTGCACAAGATTTAGAACCTGAGTTCAGATCCCTAGTATCCACGTAAGAAGCCATGTGTGGCAGTGTACGTCTGTAATGGAGCCCTGTAGGGCAGAAACAGGAAAATCCCTGGTGTTTATTGACTGGTTAACATGCAAGGTGCAGGTTCAGTGAGAGACTGTGTCTTAAAAAAAAAAAAAAAGGTAGATAACAAGTGAAGAAAGACGTCTGATGTTGGGCTAGGACACAGCCCAGTGGTAAAAGATTTGCCTAGCATACGTGAGGCTTTAAGCTGAATTCCGAGCACTAGGAAATTTAAAAGGAAAAAAAAAAAAAAAGACACCTACTGTCCACCCCTGGCCTCCACACAGGGCAAAAACATGTGCACATGTACCTGGACACATGTGCACATACTCACACAGAGAGTCACAATAAGAAAGGATAGATTTTATTTCTAACAAAAGACCCAAAGAACATTAGAAATACATGAAAGGAGTGTGACACCAGATAAAGTGTGTGAGAAAAGCAGGATGACACACCAAAGAAGCAAGCCAAGGGGAGAGGTACAACATTCTCAAGGAGAAGGCATCTCCAAGGGAAGCTGCCACAGGCACCCAGACACACTCACACCAAGCCTGGGGTGAGAGGTAGTCGACAAGAAAAAGCCACCCCTCCTTCAGCCAGGGTGCTGTAGGAACTGACAGCCAGAGAAAGGCTGAGTGGCAGGCCAGTAAGGAGAAGCTGAGAACACCCTGAGTGGATAGCCAGCCAGGATGACATGGATACAGAGACTGTGGTGGAAAGGCCACATGGCATCCCATTGCTGAGAATCTCCATCACCTTCCTGAAATGATTGGACTGAAGAAGACATGGAAGATACCATACCTGCCATGGCCATGTCTGCACAGCCACAGCCAGCAACAATAAGAGAGGAGAGTAGGGAAGTACAATTATTCTTATGTAAGAACTGTGGGGCTTTGGAGGAGACACAACCAGGAATGGAGTGGGGAAGAGAACCCTCAAAGGTAAACAGCAGCATGGGCACATCTTGCACAATCCCTCAAAATCTCGGACACAGGATACTGTGCGTGTGGAAACTGTGATCCCTAACACACTAGAGAAGGCGAGAGTTGGTAGGCATGAGTCCAAGAAGAAGAAGCTGTTATGAAACTTGGTCTGATACTCAAAGTCCCTATTCAGGGAGGACATAAAACTTACCTTGTTTGAATTATTGAAACTTTAGGCCCCCTCTCGACTGATGGAGGCAGTTACAACTGATGGTGTGGGGCAAACCAGATTCTTCATGACTAGAAAATATATTGATGGATGCTGTATTTTCTACTTCATTTCTTTAATGTTAAAGTTTATCCTTTTGTATTTCAATTGTTGGGTTATTCTGTTTTAGCTGACATCTTGTCTAAAAGGCTTTTATGATTGTCCCGTTTGTGTACCTATCCTGTGATAGTTCACTAACCTCCAACCTATACATGTTACATTGTATTTACATTTATTCTCTTTCCTCCATTTCCCATTCCCACATCACTTTACTTCTTAATAATCTTAGATGTTAAGAACTATAAACATATTTTCTCCAACATCATCCTAAGTGCCTCAGTTGTTCAGGGTATAACAAGTACCCAAGTGGTTTTTTATTTTTAAAATATTTTATTATTTTTAGTTTATGTGTATGAGTGTATTGCCTGCATGTATGTAAGTGCACCCATGTTGTACAGTGTCCACGGAGGTCAGAAAAAGGTGACAGATACCCTGGAACTGGAATTACAGATGGTTGTTAGCTACCATGTGGGTTCTGGGAATCGAACCAGGGTCCTCTGCAAGAGCAATCAGTGCTCTTAAGTGCTAAGCCATCTCTCTAGCCCCACAAGTATCTTATAGTAAGCTAATATCAGAATTGTTGTCAAATAATTGGTTGTTATTGCAGTCAGTTTTTGTCCTAGTAGTGGCAAAATAACCCCAAGCGAACACAACTCACCAAGAAGACTCACATAAAATAAAGAAGGGGCAAAAGAAAAGAAAAAAAACACCACATTCATTCCAAAGGATGTGCAAAACACAACAAAGAAACACACAATGAGCAAAGAAGCCAATGCAAACCTCTACAAGCTCACAGCTCTGAAACTAGAGACACCAGACAGCTAAGTTCATGAAAAAGATTTCAGAGCCCTGCTTTCAAAACAATCAAGGAACACATGGAAGAATCATTCAAATAAGCAGATGGATAGAGTCAGGAAATGACTGAGGACTGAGGTAAGAACATTAGTGAAGTAGATGAAAAGGTCAATGACAGAGAGGAGAAATTAAAAACATGAAGTAAAACATTAGTAAGAAAATTGAGATTCTGTAAAAGACTAAAGAGAAATGCTGGATATGCTGGGCTAATTAAGGAAAAAGCACAGTGGGACGTATTATCAGCAGACAAGACCAAGCAGGAGTGAGAATCAGCAATAGAGGACAAGGTTGAGATAATATTATACTCAGATATCAATAAAGAAAAAAGAAATGAGCATGACCAGGACTTCTAAGAAATCCAGGCTAAAATTACAGTACCAAACTTAGGAATCCACAGCACAGAAGGAGTCAAGATAAAACTAAAAACATAATCTAGTCAATAGAATAAGAACAAAATATTTGTCATATATAGAGAAAGAAACTGGCATCCAAGTAGAAGAGGCATGTAGAACCTCAAATAGATTTGATCAGAGAAGAAACTCTCTACCACAAGATGTCAGAAATACAAAACAAGAGAAGTAATACTCAGGCCAGAGAGATGGGGCAGTGGGTGGAAGTGTCAAACTTTGACAGGTCTTCATGAGAAATGTCATGGAGAAACAAGGAATATAAGGAACATACCTCAGTGTTAACAGAGGCTATACACAATAAACCTATATCCAAAATTATACTAAATGTGGAAAAACTGAAAGCATTTCTTCTAAAATCAGAAGAAAGACAAGGTTACCCACTCTGTCCAGTCTTATATAGTAGTTAGTGTTTTAGCTACAGCAGTAAGATAAGAAAAATAAATAAAAGTGATACAGATAGGAAAGAAAGAAGTCAAATACCCCCATTTGCAGATGACATAATCCTAAAGATCCTACAAGAACATTCTTGGATCTGACAAACACTTTCAGTAAAGTATAAGCACACAAAAATCAACATACAAAAACATGTTTCATTACTGAATTGCTGAGAAAGAAATCAGTAAGACAATTTCATTCATAATAGCTTCAAAACAAATATAAAATGCCCCAAATCAGTAGGAATTAATTTAATCAAGGAGCTCAAAGACCTCAAAAATGAAAACTTCAAAACATTGAAGATAAAACCTGAAGGCACTAAAGGATGAAAAGGCCTCCCATGTTTATGGATTCACAGAATTAATATATTAAAAATGGTTCCGTGTCCAAAAGTCTCTTCTAAGATTATAGGCAACCTCTTCAAGAATATCCCTGGGGCTTGCTGCCCAGATGTCTTGCTGAATTAGGGAGCTCCAGATTCACGGAGAAACACCGTCACAGAAACTAAGGTGAAGAAGATAGAAGACACCTAACATGACGTCTGTGCACACACTTGAATGTACATGTACACACACACACACACACACACACACACACACACACACAAACACACTCCAAATGGAAGAAAGTCATACACTTTCCTACACAATGGGACAAATTAACATTTCCATTTCAAAAGGGATAAATGGGGTCCAACAAGGAAAATTTGGCCAAAGCAACAAGACCAAAAATCTAGTAGGGCAAACAAGAGATTCTATAAACTGAAAAGGAATGCATTTGAAAATGTTAGAGATAGTTTCCATGTTGACTTGCCTCCATCTTGGGTAATAACTGGTATCGCCAGGCTATTTTCATGTTGTCATCACTTTCTGGTGTTCTAGGATTATGTACATCTTCACCAAGTTCTTTTTTACAATTATAATCAAGTAATGGTGCAGGGAGTTCCTAAGAAAACAGAATGATACATTATATAGCATCTATGGCAAATAAAACAATTTCTTGAATCATAATGTTAGCAATGGTAGAACTTTCTAATGTATTAAAGACTGATGACTTATAATTGATTTAAATACACACAACAATATAGACATTTCTGTCTGTTTTAAGACAGGTATTTCATGTGGTCCAGGGTGGCCTTAAACTCCCTATGTACCAAGGGTGACTTTGAACTTCTGATCTCCCTGCTTCCATTTCCTGAGTGCTAGGATTACAGATGTATACCACTATGCCCAGTTTATGTGGCACTGGGGGTTGAACCCAGGGCCTTGTGCATGCTAAGCAAGTACTCTACTGACTGAGTTACAACCCAGGCCCTAATATACACATTTCTAAAACAGAGAAAAGACGTATAATATCAAATGTGAAACTTAATGTTTCTGCAATGAACTATTAAAAATACCTTAGCTTTAATATTCACAAAATCAGTTGCTATTCTAGAAAGAAGCTAAGTACATATTTTAAAAACTTTATATATTTAAGCAAAGCATGGAATTAGCTCTATGTATTACATATAATTATTGCTGTGTTTGCCACAAAGTAAAAATAAAGCATTGCATAGTCTGTTTACTGGTTTGTAATTCTAGAATTCAAAAAAAGCATTCACTGAAATAATGGGTGAAGTAACAACAAAGAATAAAGACATTTATTTTTCCCATATCAAATTGCTGGTCTTTGCACCTGCAAACTTTTATCACTTCTTTAACAATGAAAATAGAATCTAAAATCTTGGTTTAAATGAAGAAATGCTGAATCCCAATTTATTATTTTGGAAGGTGACACTAAATGGCTATTTAAACAACAACAACAACAACAACAACAACAACAACAATAACCTTTAAAACTATTTCTGTGGTGTGTTATAATAAAAAACCTCTCATTTCACCCATGTTGTGCAATGCCGCAGAGGTCAGAAGAGGGCTTTGGATTCCCCTGGAACTGGAGTTAAGGACGGTTTGTAGCTGCCATGTGGGTGCTGGGAATTGAACCCAGGTCCTCTGCAAGAGAAGTCAGTGCTTTTAACTGCTGAGCCATCTCTCCAGCCCCACAAACCCCTCATTTCTTAAAGAAGAAAACTATATGTATAATATTTATTTATTTATTTATTTATTTATTTACTTACTTATTTTTAGCCTTTTAGAGATATAGTCTCCCTATAGCCAAGTTGGCCTGGCACTTACTATGCAGACGAGGCTGGTCTGATCTCTCGGAGATCCACCTTCCTCTGCCTCCCTAGTTCTAGGACTAAAGGCGTGTACCACTACACCAGTTTTTGTTGTTGTTGTTGTTATTATTATTATTGTTATTTGGTCTTTTAGACAGGGGTAGCCCGTAGCCCTAGCTGGCTTGGATTCACTATGGAGACCAGGCTGGCCTTGAACTCACAGAGATCCGCCTGCCTCTGCCTCCTGAGTGCTGGGATTAAAGGCGTGCGCCACCACATCTGGCTTGTTTTATTTTTTTTTTATTAGCCAGAATCACAAATAATGTGGGGATTTACATTAGCAGACATAATTTTATATTCATTCTACCCTCTTTTTTTTTTTTTCTGTTAGGTTTGTTGACATTTTTTTTCCCCCAGGGTCTTGTTTCTTCTCACAGTGGCCCTGAACGCCCTCCTATTTCAGCCTTCAGTGAGGTAGGATTACAGGCACATCGGCTCATCACCATGGATTCTTATATATTTCTTGTGTGTTGGGATTGAATGTGAGGTTTACATGTTAGACAAGCTCTCTGCCACTGTGTTGAACCCAATAGTCCTTCTATTCCCATAAAAATATTTATTATTTTTGCCAGGCGTGGTGGCACATGCCTGCAGTCCCAGCACTTGGGAGAGGCACAGGCAGGTGGATCTCTGTGAGTTCGAGGCCAGCCTGGTCTACATAGTGAGTTCCAGGCCAGCTAGGGCTACAGGGAAACCTTGTTTCAAAAAGAATAATAAATAAATAAGTAAATAAATAAAATATTTATTATTTTAATTATTTACATGTGTGTCTATGTGTGGATAAGCAGTTCTAAGTGCCAATGCCAAGTAGAGACCAGAGGAATTAGATACCCTGGTCTGGAGAGCAGGTGGCTGCGTGATGTGGTTGCTGGGAATAGAATTTGGGTCCTCTGAAAGGACTCTTAACTCTCATCTCTCCAGTCCCTCTTTTACCAATTTTAAATTTGGTTGTTTATCTTGTTGTTGTTGAATAGCAAAGATTTCTTTCATTATCCTGGGCAGTAGATGTTAACAGAATATGGCCTGCAAATATTTTTGCCCATGTGGGCTGTCTTTATTCTCTTGGCAGTGTCCTTTGATACAGAAAGTTTTCAATCTTGAGGAAGCCTAATTTGTCTTCTTTTCAATTGTCAATTTTGATACATGATTTGAGGTAGAAGTTTTTAAATTATGACAACACTAACATTAATTATATGGAAATTACTTATTAAACATCGGGTATATGCTAAATTTTGGTCTAGGTTTTGAGGGTATAACAACAAACAAACAGCACAATCGGAAGAGAACCCACATACAGTGCTTACTCTACTGTAGACCTTTTTGTAGTATTTTAGACTTTTTAATTAATTGCTGTATCAAGCTTATCAAATACCACTATACCCCTTTTATATAGTGGAGATCTACAACGTAAAGAGATTAAGTTACTTGCCCAAGGCCATAAAGCTCATAAGAGATAGAATTGAGAAAAAGAACCTGGAGGTCTCACTTCAGCTACACTGACTAATTAATAAGCTTTCATTGTATTTAGGAGAGTAGGACAATAAATAAATATATAATAGGTTGCATGATAATAAACAAAAAAAATGAGATAAGACTGCAAAGGCTCTATTTTAATAAAAGTGGTTAGAGATGGCCTCTTTGATAAGGTCAACACTGATAGAGATAGGACAATTCTATATATACATCATGTATATATGAAAAATCCTACATATAATTGAGATTCTATACAAGGCACTATTACAGAAATGTTCCATATAGATATGGTACCATATATATTGATAATATTCCATGGGCAATTTATCTACAGATGATGAGAGCAGACCAAGAACTGTATTCAGTGATTCAGGATGTGAAGGATTTAAGGATCTCTAATTTTGCTTTGATCTTCATATGTATATAAATTTGTTTCTGGAATAAGGAAGTAAACAAACATCTTAGTTAACAATTATAGAACCTTAAATTTCAGGAATTTATATATAGCTTGCAAAATCTAGTTCTCTCCATCTTCAATGATCTAAAGCTTCCGCTCCTCAATTGTTATTTCCTATATTAAATAAAAACTCTTAGATACTTATTAGAATAAATCATAATTTAAATCAGTTTGCTAATTTAATATACAGTAGCATATAAGAACTATTCATACAACCACTAGTCTAGAACTATGCTGTGCAGTATGGTGAACCCTAGCTACACATTACTATTTAAATTTTAAATAAATAAAATAAAAAATTCAGCATTTTACTTGCAGTAGCCACATTTTAAGTACTAGCTAGTGAACAGTTACTCTATTGGACAGCATTGTAGAGGATATATTCGGTTCATATAAAGTTCTATTTGTTCAGTGTTTGTCTAGAAACTGGGAAATACATTTATTTATCTACTTAATGCTTTAAATGGTTTACTGTGTAAGGCTTATAACTATCAATGATCAATTTCACCTTTATATCAACAATAAGGATCACAACTATATACAAAGAAATAATTTAGTTTTCAATATCAAAAAAGTTCCATGTTTTCTACTTTCCTTTATGTCATCTCTGTCTTATGCACAATTAATCATGATAATAATCTGTCTTCTTCACCCAGGCACTGTTATCTGTCTTACCATGTAACTCTATTGTTTTCCCTGATATTTTCAAATATTTAATATAAACTTTGCACAATATGCATCTTATAAGCTGTTATAGAATGAATAAAGCAAATAGAAATCTCTCATTTCTTCCTCCCCTCCTTTCCTTTTCTTTATATACATTATATATATATAAGACATTTATATATTTATAGCTATGTAGCCTAGGCTGGCTCTGAATTGGTGATCCTCCTGTCTTGATCTCCTGTGTGCTGGTGTGTGCCACCACCTCTAGTTTAAAAATACCTTTAAAAACAATTTCCTAAGAAGGGGGAATGTTAGAATAGCCAAAAGCCCCATTTAAAAAAAATTAAAGAAGAAGAAAGAGTACATGAAGTTATCAGGAAAAAAAGTGATGGGAAGATGTGGGAGGAGTTGGAGGGGAGAGAGTGGGCATGGATTTGATTAAAACACTTTATGTACATGTATGAAATTCTCAATAAATTATTTATTTAAAAAACAATTTCCTAGTAGTTATCTATATGCCTTATGGATATTTCAAAATTAACCCAAATTTTACTTACAAATGTCACCTACAAAGAAAAAGTTAAAATATTTTTCACTGCATCTTTCTTTTTATTTTTATGAATAGCATCCAATCTTCCTTGTAAAATTTACTACTTACTGGATAGTTAACATAGAAATTATGACACAAAAACATGAAAAACAGGAAAGAATCAGTCATTTGTCTAATACTCAGGAATAATCAGCTTGAATATATTTGAGCAATTCCCTCCAAGCTTTTTAATAGGTATGTGTGTAATTTGACTCTACAGGCCTTAATATATATAATAAGAGTTCATGAAATTGGGTTGAGGGGAAGAGGGAATGTAGTGCAGATAGGAGAGGGGATCTAAATACAATCAAAATATATTATATGAAATTAGCAAAATCCAATAAAAAGGGAAAAATATATGTATGTTTGTATATAAACTCACACTACGAAGCACATATTGCCATTGCCCATTATCTTTACTATATGCATATATACATTATTATGTTCTGTATGTTATGATTCTTTTCACATTAATTATCAAACAAGATTTTCCATGGCTTTAAAATATTATTACAATGCTTAATCAAGATTCAGTTTAT